CGCACACGCACCCACACACACACACACACACACACACACACACACACACAGAGAGAGAGAGAGAGAGAGAGAGAGAGAGAGAGAGAGAGAGAGAGGTTTTGTCGCAACCTTGACTCCCCTTCTCTACCCAGCCCCCCAACCGTCTACTGAATCTGCCCATGTCTCTCTCCCAAAAAATGGAGGAATCTCTGCTGCAAAAAACCCACGCATTTAAAGAAATGTTAAAACTTAAAATCATCGGACTGTTTCACCTGGCTAATTGAGCCGGGCAGGTGAATCCCAGTAGCACTGGCCCGTCTGCCCAGCTGGGCACCCAGACATTGCCTACTCTGGTAAACCAGTTTCTGAGCCGTTTCTCCAATTTCTTACTGCTGGATGCCCAGGATGGATTTGGAAGTTCTGACTGTCACGATGGTGCAAGGCAAAGTAATGGAACGCAAGGCGCTGACCCAGAAAATAACACATTGGTGGGTGATCATATCATTTCTGATTGTAGCTTGAATGACTGGGTAAACGCAAATGAAAGCTGCATGGTTGGAGAGAAAACAAACAAGCTTCATGCATGATTGGACCAAAAAAGAAAACAAAGCTGCGAGGTCGGGCAAAAAAGCAAAACAAAAGCTGTATGATTGTACAGAAAAGCAAAAGTGTCTTGCATACATGGACAAAAAAGCAAACACAACCTCCAGGATTGGGCAAACCACCGGAACACAAGCTGTATGATTGTACGGAAAAAATAAAAGGCTTCATTCCGGGCAAAAAGCGAAGAAGAGTTGGTTGATTGGGCAAAAATTGAACAGCAGCACGATTGGAAGAAAAGGAAACAAGAGTCACATGATTGGATAAAAAGTTAAGAACCAAACAAAAGCTGTATTGATCTTGAACCGTCTACCATCTTGACCTCTGGCCCCTGGACTGTCTCCCGTCTTGACCCTAGTGGCTGTCATTCCTGGCTTGGACAAAACACTGAACAGCCAAATGAAAGCTGTATGTTTCTTCCATCTTCACACCTATCAGTTCTCCTGCCTGGCCTTTTGCTATGGTTTTGGTGGTCGCAACATGGCTGGCATGCCCAGTTTTATTAACTCTTACGTACTTCTTTTATTTGTACTCTTGAATGGTGCCAGCATCTCTGCCACTATGGGAATTGTTGGCCAGATCTTTGTAATGAACTCCTGATTCTCAACACTCAAGATCATGTGATGCGTCCATACTAAAGAACTTATGCGTGTCTACATAGGCCTGAAGAAGGGTGTGACTTTAGAGGAGAATGTATTTGTAATATACAAAGACAAATCTGTCAAGTATAGCTCCAGATTTCTAAATCATGTCAGCCTAGAAGGTGGGGAGTGATGAGTCCTGACTCCTGACTAATGGTGCGCTTTCCGTTGTTGATGGGAATGAAGGGTATCCCATACCTTGGTATGTAATTTGAGGTCCACGGCTACAAACTAGAAAATGTTTTGGCAAATTGGTGCCCCTTCACTGCTCTCAGAAGAACCAACGGTCGGCAGTTAATCCACATTCTTTGTCGGAGTGTCGAGTCTATCTAGTACAAACTTAGTACAAAGTTAATTACAAACTACATATTTCTATTTTATTCTAAATGTTCGATTGCGGGTCATTTTTCTTACTCCCAATGACGAGGACAAGTGCAACTTACGAGGACTTGACACATTCCCATACTAAAGTTTTGCTGAATCTGAACGTAGTAGCACCTTGTAGAAAATTATGGGGGCTGGACACACACCCACACTAAGATCTTGCGGAATCTGAATGCAGTAGCGCTTGGATGCATGAAGTCCTGCTGTTAGTATGGCCTAATCCAGCCTTTCTCTACAAGGTTATTGAGCTTTAATTCTCACACGAAGACTTTTTTTCAACTGAATCTGAAATTCTGACTTGAGCCGGAGGCATTTCCCTTAACCTTACCAAGGGAATGCTCTAGCCCACCTGAGCTACGCTCACTCACAGAGAAGGTTGTCTGGAGACTGTCGTACCTGAACCAGCAGCACTCGCAGAACATGCGTTCTACACTCGAACTAGGCTCTCGACAGACTGGAGGAAAAGGGGCTGAGAATACAAAATCTAATGGCACGATTTCTTGAAGTAAGTCTCAACCTTTTCACCCGTTGAAACATCTCGTTGAGCTAATAGATGAAAAACCACAGGTGCTGCAGGACCACACAGAATAACCAATCAAATTATGCAAAGGAGTGTTAGGAGTACCTGTGCGATGTGAGATAGGTGAGCTTTTTAATTCGGCTCTGGAAGATACAATTGCGCATTCGAGCAGGCCTCAGGGTATCAAATCACGAAACTAGGACGGTTTCCTTTTTCTGTACGAATGCCCACCAAACACCCAGCTACCACTTTGTGGCGAGCCCTGAGGTTGAAAAGAAGGTATTGGGCGATCCTGAAAGGCGGAGATGAAAATGGCCTGCATGATGGTTCTGTCGCTGTGAGCGATTGTTGAGGGTGATGGGTGACACAGCATGAAACCATATTGCTGTTCATGGTGCACTGCTCACACTGAGAGTCATGTTCCTTGTTTTTTTTTTTTGTTTTTTTTTTT